AACAATCGATGAAGCTTAATATTCTCTGCAAAAAAAGTATTAATATATTAATATTGAAATACCATTAATCGATGAGATATTCTAATTTTAGTGTTGTTACGAAATCACGATTCTCTTAATAACGTTATAGATTCGATGTGACAACTATTTATACTCGGAAAAAATACTCATTTATAATTTTTTTAAATAATCATTTTTGCATGATTTACCATTGCATATTCGGCAATCAATGTGGCTTCAATAGGATGGTTGTACTACACATTGTGTAAAAAATGTATTCAATCAAATACGTATGATTTAACGCCCCTCGAATTTTTCCAATGAGGCTACTTAGAAAATAAAGTATACGCTATTACTGAATGTAATAGCACACCACCAGATTTATTACATAATGTAAAACAATCATTAATTTCTCAACTCAGAAAATGTGATGCAACATTGATCGTCACATTGAACCTTTTCTGTACATAAAATCATTATAACATTATCGAGAGAATCGTTATCTTGTAATAACACTAAAATTGAAATATCTCCTTGACTAATGGTTTTTTTGTATTAATAAATTAATACTTTCTGTAGCGAACATCAAGCTTTATCGATTGGTGCAAGGAAAAACATATGATCCCATTTGAAAAAGTATTGACGACCTTCATATCCCTTTTACATGTCCACCAACGTACTGTTTTACTATTTTTGTTCTGTAATAATTAGACTACGGATCTTTATGCAAAATAAAAATGTTCCAAGACGATTGTAAGACGCAGATATTAAATAAAAATGAATTGTTTCTTTTAATTATTTTGATAAGTTGCAAATAGTGTAACAATGTTATGGAATTCTTCCAATTTTTATATTTCATAAAAATTTTATATTTCAGCTACTCAATTTTACCATAAATGCATAAAATCCGCAGTCTAAAAAGATAACGTTATATTTTTCGAAATGAAATAAAACATATAATAACATAAAAAAACAAAACGGTAGATTAAAGTTATATCTTCCAAAGTGGAACAAAATCGATAATGAAATGAAAGATATTCATTTTTGTATGTCTTCATTTTATTTATATCTTTAAAGCCATCTGCTACTTTTCCTAATTGCAAATTCTTTGATTGTATCTTGTCTTTGTAGTACAGCTGTTTCTAAACGCAGCGAAGATAGACATCTAACGTGTCATGACACGTACAACATAGTTATATCGTTGCTATAGAAAGACTTTTAATATATCTTTAAAATAAGTATTAATGTTAAAAATATTCGAGAGACAATATCTATACATATATGAACAAAAATACACACAATTAAGATCATCGTTGTTCTACAAAGAAATGTTCAATGTCAGATAATTTTAGGCGTGTCCTAGGCTCGTGCTTATTTTGCTTATTAATTAAATAATATGCTTAAATACTCTTGCATTTATTTATTCCTAAGAACAATGATTAATTGTATTTTCTTAAGGTATATAAGCTTGCAAATCAGTTTCCAATAATTGTATGCTTGAATTCATTGAAATGACAAAATTAGAATGATATAATTTCTTATTATAAAAGTGAATGGTAATTCAGATTCTCAAGACACTGTTTCTCTAATCAGCGACTTGATTTGAATTTTTCAATTTTGAATGTTTTTTCAAAATATATCACGTCAGTATTAATAATATATAGTTTGTTTCAAAAGTTCGGTTTTGTAAAGATTAAAAAATTCAAGAACATCAATTTGGTTATTTTGTTTAGTAGCTAAACAAAAAATTACTATGAATTGCGCTTCAATGTTCTGAGAAAATAATAGTGAACGCGCGGAAGATTCCTTACTAAACAATGCCTTAAGAGCATTTTTAATATGCAGGATGAATCATGTGACCTGCACACCTCGAATAAATAGACTGCAGATTGTATGCACTTATAACAAAACTAAAGTAGAGAAATTTAAAATTGTGATAACATGAAAAGAAACTAAGAATGTTGATGTATTAACTTCGATTTATTCAAATTATTTAATACAGAAACAAAATTATACATAGCTCCTACATCATGCAATTGACATAGACAATTTTTATTTTGCAAGAAGGTCAGAAGTCTACTTATATATTATGCGTTTTATGCAAAATTATTAAAACGATTTATTTAAAGAATTATTTATTTTAAGAATTATTAAAAAGTTGCATGATTTCAAAAGCGACAAATAGTGACGTATCAAATTTCGAATTTAACAACTGTTCACAAAACTTTTTAAATTTAAATTTATTTCAGCTGTAAATCAGTTGCAGAACAAAAACGACCCTTTACGAGCGAACGATGGATGCGTCGATCCATTTATTTGGTTGTTTTCTTCAGTATGTGCGACATTTATATCTGAAAGATTGACTACTTGTATTTTCGACTCATTTTTACACGATATCCTGTATATTGCTATCAATATCCTTCTTGAGGATCGGGAGACAAATTCAACGAGTATAATTAACGTATACTTTTGATCATTTATTCTCCAAATATTTGCGTTTAAAATATTAAATAGTCAACGTTTACATGCAAGTATCTCGAGATTAAATAATCGAAAGTATACAATCATTATAGTCGTTGGATTCGCATTTTAATCTTCTACCAAAATACGTATGAATTTATTTAATATTAAATGAAAATAATTTATTAAAAAACTATTAAGTATCTCGCCTTTCAGATGCAAGCATCTCAAGATTAAATAATCGCAATAGTACGATCATTATACTCATTGGACTCGTCTTTTCACGCTCAACAAGAATATCGAAAGCAAACTACGAAATTCTTCTATTCCCGAACATTATGATTTGTAAAGCTTCGGAAGATCGGTTCTAATTTATTCTAGATACATCGGAATGTATGTCCAAGCCAATCCTGTGCCTTGCTTAAATTCCACAGCTCTACGTTTAAGATTAAGAAAGTGAAACGTGCATCTGTAAATTTTGGAACGGAACAAACTGAATAAGTGAGTGACTAAATAGTGACTAAATATGCGTATGAATGAAATTAATATTCGATGCTCTAAATTTATTACCTCTGCCGCAAACCTCGCGCATTGAATTGGTTTCTTCGCAGACATCGGAGGTGCGCACTTAAGCATGCAACAGAGTGTAGTTGCGGTGCATGCTACTCAGGAGTTATGATTTATCGTGTCGACTGTCAAAGTGCTAGCTAGTGGGACTCTATCATGATAAAGTATGGCGTTCTACTTCGAACCATGTAGAATAAAATTTACGCGTTTGTGTGTCTTTGTGTTATAGCAGGTGCATTAAGGGTAAATGTGTCTGTAAGTAATAACTAGACTGTGAATTTTTATGTAAAATGAAGATTGTCAGTGCTGGAGAAATGTTTGTATCGATGTATCGAAGTGTCATTTATAAATATAAAGACGCTTTTGTTTTGATTGATTTTATATCTTCTGATATGTGATATGATTGTTCGTGGTTTACACTTGTATTATTATACATTTGTACTTTTACGCGTTCTTGAATCAAATTCCAACAGTCTACATCAATTGCAAGAAACTAAAACTAAATAGAGCATTCCTTAGTAATATTAATACATTAAAAATAGTACATTAACGTTTCAAAAATTTGTTTATCATTGTACATTCAATTTTATCATAAATGCATAAAATCTACAACCTACTAATAATGCAAATGCAATGATATTTGTGTTCGTTATACACTTAATGCAGAAATATAAGATTATAAAGTGTAAGAGAATTCGCGAAACTGTAAATTCTATATATTTTTGTTACAGTGTTAGTCTGTTATTAATTAATTAATTAATTTTTTATTTCGGTCGAGATTTGGGTCAAATGAAAATTTGATGAAAATCGGAATATTTCTGAATCTGTCGATTAAGTGAAAATTTTGTTTAAAACTAAAGAATGTAGGGTTGACATACACTCTTAAAACAATGTCAAAATGAAAATTCTATCTGAATGAGAAGCTGTTAGAATGAAAATATTATTGGGATAAGAAATTGTTAGAATGAAAATGTGACTTGAATGACAAATTCTTAGAATCAAAATATTATTTAAATGAAAAATTGTTAAAATGATATTTCAGATATTTTCAGGATAAAATTATACATTTTCAATAAAATATCAGCTTAAAATTGATTTAGAATTGCGATATCCTACGTTGAAATTTTATTACAATGAAAATATTATTTGAATATAATAAAAATATCTTTTCTACTTTGTTTTCTGTGTTGCACGAACACTGTAGCTAGATTCGAATAACACGTAATGAATAATTTTAACAAAACGCTTGGATACTTCCCTCAAAATATCTTAACTTACATTTGAAAGCCTCTGCCGTAATAGTTGTACAATTCCCTTGTTACACAAATCTACCTAGCATTGACATAGCTTGAATTGCAAAGCGTTAGTCGTTAATTGATCGCATACTTCAGTTTTTGAAGGGCGTATCATTTGTACAGTTATTCAATTCACAGTGTTTAAAATGATTCAGTTTTTTTCACCAATTTTATACGGTTTAAAGTTTGAAATTACCAACAATAAGTAAAAATTACTAATTATCTTAAATTGGTGTGTGACCCTTGGTATGATAATAATATATACCATAGTGGTAATACAACCATTGGTATGACCCTTAAAGGGTCAACTAACCCTTAGAACGGAGTCACATGAGCGTCGAAAAAACGGACATTGATCATCTTTCCTTGTTTTCCTAGTTAAAAACAAGGATAAATCTGCCTTGTTTTCCATTAATAAAACAAGGAGAAACAATCAACGTCCGTCGATTTAACGCTCGTGTACCTCTAGCAACACTGATATTCACAGAAAAAACTGATATGTTGAGGTCATGATCATGGTAGCAAGAAGAGTAAGCTATATTTCCGATCGAAGGAGTCAGGGGCATAACGATGCATAAGGGTGTTCATTAAAATTCTGAACTACGAACGCGACATGGCTTCGCTCTTTTTGTGATGAAATGAATTATTCTTTGCATGTGAAAGAGGAATAAAATAATATGTAGAAACTTAACAATATCTTTTATTAAAAATATTACATTAACATTAACTATTTACAAAATTATGTAGCTCTACATCATCATCGTCGCTTGACATTTGATCTTGTACAATTATTTCGCTTAATGCATCTGGCACGTCATCATCTTTATACATTCTACTATTGAAGTTGTTTAAAATTTCCTCTGTAATTGGATAGTTACAACATTTTGTTCCCATACTGTCTAAATCTATACGAATACGGCATAATGCTCCGACCATACGATGTCCCAATCTATTCCGGTTTCTAGTTCTAATATTATTTACCAATGAAAATAACCTTTTGATTTCTACGTTCGAGTTCGGTAAAGTCAGACACAGGTACGCCAACTTACAAATATTTTTAAATTTCTGTGATCTCTCGTTCGAAATTTGAATAATTTTAATCCAAAAGTCATTTATACTTAATGATAGTAACTCATTCTTTATCTTTTCCTCCAGAAATCCAAGAAAATACCACTCCTGCAATACGTCTTCATCATCAAATTTTGATTTGAACACTTGCAATATATTTTCAATGTGGTTTTCATGTTTCTGGATGTCTAGAGCAACAGACGGCTGTAAAAATTTTAATGATTTAAAAAATATATCATTAAATGGTAGTTTATCAACTGCACCTTTAAAAGCTGCTTGATAAAAATTCTGACAATTTGTGTAAAATTGTTTAATTTTTTCGGATTCTACGCATTGACTAATAGTGGATTTAGTTTTTGAACCAATATTCATTTCATGCAGAGGTAGTAAATTTCTATCATTGTAAGGATCTACTTTGTGTAAATTTATGTTATGTATCAGATTTAATTTCAAAAAATTGCAACCTAAATCTTTTAATAGTTCAAGGCATTGTTCTATCATGGTGCTAATCTGGATTTCTTTACTTTGGAAAGTAGTATGGTACCGTGTTATTATTTTCAAACTGTAATTGAAAAATTCTAAGTACGCTTTAGTGTACAGTGAATTTAGATCTTCAAGAATTTCTGTGGCGCATACGTTATTTTCGTCTTCAAAATATGCTAATAAAACGGCCCACTGTTCTAATAGCCTTGGGATGCATTTACTCATTGACAACCATTTGGTTTTTAATGGTTCAACCATTCTATGTCTTGACGCAAAAATTTGTAATTCCTCCAATTCACGTATCCTCTTACCGCTTTGTCCAGTGTAGTTAAAGATACGATGCATTAATTTATTTACATTATCTGGAATGAATTTACATGCCTCAATTGCAATGACGTTTAGCTTCTGACAAATACAGGGAATTATAACTACCTCTGAATTTCTTTCTTTGAATAATGTTATAAAGGAAGGATGTTCTCCCACCATGACATTAGCATTATCGCTAGAGATTCCAACAATATTTTTTATTGGAATGTTGTGCTTTGCTAGAGCATATTCAAAACATTTAAATAAATTATCGGCAGTTCCACTTTTAATACTAATGTACTCTAGAACATAGCTATGAATTTTGTTCTCATGGATATAGCGTGCTAAAATAGCAAAATTGTTACTATTTTCTGCATCTGTACTTTCACCAATTAATATAGAAAAAAATGTATGTTTCAAAATGTTAGCTACCTTTTCGATAATTGCCTTGTTAATGACATTTTTAATTAAAGCACTGACTTTTGTACGTTTCAACCTTAAATTTTGTATAGTAGGGCAACTGCAATTGCATTCCGCATGAACATCTGGAATTGTGTCAACATAGCGATCGCAAGAGTTGAAACTCCTACCATGTTCCACTATGTCTAACACATACCTGAGTTCTGCCCTTTTAATGCTTCCTTTATGACATAGTAATTGCAACATTTCAGTGTTTACTCCTTTTCCTGAAACACGCATCTGTTCTTGGTGGGCCACAGTTTTTTCGTGTTGCACTAAGGCACTTCGTTTTGCACAAAACACCTTATTGCAGACATGACACTTGGCCTCAAGGTTGCTTTTTGATGACTTGGCCAACCATGGGGCAAAAACAGGTTCACTCAACCATGAATCTTTGAATTTTTGGGTGTACAATTTCTTCTTGGATGGTGGACCCTTAATACTACTGCTGCTGCTACTACTGTCACTGTCTGTTGATAAAATTTTGATTACTTAAATTATACAATACAATGCACAACATATAAAACGCATGTCAAAGAAATTAAAAATATATAGGGCTTAAGGAAAGTAATTATGCATATTTACATCATAATTTATTAATGTAAAAAATTTGCATTGCTGTAAGAAAAATTTCGTTTTCTTAAACATAAACTTATAATAAATATATACATATATCGTCGCATAAATATATATCGTTGTGTGGGCGCCCGCGTAATTATATGGCATAATAAAATGTAAAACCGAATTATAAATAAAACTATAATCTTTATTACTGAGAAGGTACTGTATCATAACCTCTCTCCTTAAAGATCATCAACTGACTCTCTTTTGCTCCTATTTTCTATTGCAGCGTCGTATCGTTATTCAAACAACGTTGTGTCTGTAACCAATATCATTTTATATAGGGTGTCCCAGTTTTTTCGGCCAAACGGTATCAGTATATTCTACCGGCGAAAATATAAGAAAAAACTGTGATCTAAATATAGGCACAAAAAAATACTTTATTAAAAAATTATAAGAAAAATACGAAATAATAATGGACTGATTTTCGTTCGATGTAGAAATATGTTAGTAGTTTTTCTCTTATCTGTATTTGCTTATCGAAACTATGTTCACTAACTCGTTCAATTTTTTATAGATGTCAATGCTGTATTTTCAAAAATTATGAAACTAATATATATAGTTAAATATTCTTAATCAGTCCTCCCATTATCATCTCGCATTTTTTTATAATTTTTTAATAAAGCAATTTTTAGCCTACGTTTATATGATATTATCTTCTTATTTTCGCTTGTAGAATATGCTGATACTATTTGGCCGAAAGAATAATATCGATCCATACTAACAACGACATATGTACATATATCTATTTATTATATTTAATATATACATTTATATATTTACCTGATTCACCGTTAGTCGGTGCTTTACCAACGATAATATGAATTCCACTGGGTCCTGGTTGATATTTATCAGCCATTATATCACCTATTTGTATAATCATTTCTAATATAATGACTTTTGAAATGACTTACAAATTTAATCACTTGAGCGCATTAGTATTAGAAATATACCTTACCGTGATTTCTCAATATATATTAAAATACAATATAAGATGCACAAGAATATAAAACAGTCGCGTGGTTAAGCTTTGATAGGTTATAAAAGCAACGATAGACTAGCACACTCGTTCCGACCTGTCGCGTGACTTACTCCCACTCTTTCGATTTGAAATCTTGCTTATTCCTCTGGCTACCACTGTCGTGAAGAATGCCAGGAAATAATGCCAGATGCCGATTTGGGAATTGAGCGAAGGTGGCATCTGGCATGGTGGAGTGAACCTCGCTGCTGCCTCGGCTCGTGCGGCAAAATGGGAGAACTAACGGGGATACGTTTACCGCGTTCTTAGACCATATACAGGGTGAGTTTCATAACAAGACGACTTCAAATAACTCGTAAAATATTTATTGTACGAAAAAATGTTTCAAACAGAAGTTGCATGATTTACAGGTGGACATATAGTATTCTAATCCGTTTTATGTTATTTTGCTTTTTTATCAAGATATAAAGTTTACCGTTAATTTTTTAAATGCGATAGTTAATATTTCTACCCAAATTTGGATAGAACGTGAATTCTACATAGAAAAGTATTACATTAAATAGTGACGAAGCTACGTTTCGTTGTTTTAATTAATACCGCTAATTATTTTAATTACTTAGGTTAGGTTTGGTAAACGTGGTGTTAAATGAACATTGTAAATTATGCCTTTTGGTCTTTTTAATAAAAATACTGTCAAATTAAAATTGTGAAAGGTGTTTTTTTGATCTGGCTCATACAGTTATTGTTAAATTGAAATTTTAAGAGGTCTATTGACCTCGCCAGTAAAAATAGTATTTAATTAAATTTTTAAAAAGTATCTCTTGACCCTTTTCATAAATATGGTGTTAAATAAACATTGTCGGTGTCTTTTGAATCCTTTCATAAAAATCGCATTGAAATAAAATTGTAAATGATATCTTTCGACCCCTGTGGTAAAAATATTCTTAAATAAAAATTTCAAAAGGTGTCTCTTGACTATTTTGGTAAAAATTACGTTAAATAAACGTTGCAGAAGGTGTCTTTTTGAATCTTTTGGTAAAAATAGCATTGAATTAAAATTGTGGAAGGGGTCTTTTAACCCCTTGAATTAAAAAAGTGTTAAATAAATATTTTCAGAGACCTAGTAAATCTATAATAGTAATTCCCTAAAAATTGTCACGGTTCACTACACCCCTCGTTAGTGCGCTATTAGCTATTACTTACTGATGGTTTGATAGCTCCGGCGGACACTACAGGGGTGCCTTTTACGCACCTACGTATTACGAGGTTTGACAAATTGGCGACTTCGCCCTAATAATACAGCCGCTCTGGCTTCCTTCCGGCTTTCTCCTACGTGACGTTCTAAAAATAGCATCAGCGCACTGGCCATTGTAGAGCAGTTCTTTCCGGGGAACATATCTTTTTAATCTTTCTTGGCCAGTGATTTCCTTTGCAATGGCAGCTAGATTACCGGGTAATATGTCAGAGAAAAGGACTCCATGAAATCAGATTTCTCTGGCATTAATACCATGACTCAGTTAACACTAGGTTTAAGCAGCGTTAAAACCAACTATTTTATATATTAATTAAGAAAAGTAACAAAAATTGATTTATTCGGGTTTTTAGAAATATATGTTTACAATATCTCTAAACGTTAATTTAAAAATTTTGAACTCGTCATTTCGATGGAGCCCGTAAATCTAATGTTACTAATATTGCTCGACAGGCAATTGTTTTAAATTTCCATGTGCCAAATACAAAGTTGAAATTCGATTCTTCCCTCCATTTTTGAGATATTTAAGTTCGAAGTAAATTTTTTAAATTTGAGCAAATTTTATGCTGTAGCCGTAATAATTATACGAATTATTCTTATGGAGAATAATTCTGTAGACTCTTTTAAAGAAACAATATATTTTATTATAGCATTATTAACTTTTAAGCATGTTTAAATAATACCATGTTTAAATAATAAAGAGATCGTGGTGACCTTTGATGTACAAATTTTTTCGAACATATTTAATTTTACTTTGTAGATTACGGGGTTGAGACAAAATCTAACTGAATCATTCGAAACTGTAAAAGTTATTTTAATTTCATAAAAGCACACCTTCGAATCTTGCAATTTCGAGCTTTCTCTCGTAAATTGAAAATGGCGATATTTTGATCCGCGAAACTACTTATATTGAATTGATTCTAATTTCAGTATCAATGAATTTTGATTACAAATTTAAATTATTATAGATTCTTGTAGGAATTTAAATAACAATTTTTTAAATTACCGTAAACTTTTATAGAAAAAAATAGATATTTAAATTGGAATAGATTTTTAATAGAAATTTAAATTGGAATAGATTTTTATAGGAATTTGAATTATAACAGCTTTTTATAGGAATCTGAATTATAATAGATTTTTGTAGGTATTTAAATAATAGTTTTAAAATATAATATATTTTTCCAAAAGAGAGAGAGAGA